AATAATTTATTTATAATATTAATATATTAAATTATTTTTTTTTTGATTAATATTATATAAATAATATTATGTTAAATAAATATTTTTTAATTAGTGTAAATCAAATTTTAAGAATAATATTATATTTATTGATAAATTGATTATAATTTTTATATGTTAAAATTATTGTCAGCAGCTTGTCACTATTAATTGATTTAAAAATTAATAAATTAATAAATTAAAAGAGGAAAAATAAAAATGAAAAGAGAATTCAAAATTTATCAAAAAAATTTAAAAATATAGTAAAAATAATCTTTTCTTAAAAGAAATTTATTTGATTGAAATAGTTTTTTTGTTTTATTTGAACCTCAAAAGAAATCTTTTTTATTATCATTTGTGATATCAATGAGTTGATTCAATCAATTTTTTATTTAAGCAAGTATTAGATTGGGATATTTCAAGAAAAGTATTTAGATTTTGGCTTTTTTTTATTAAAGCTTTATCACTATCTAAAAAATTTAAATTTTTTTTAAATGTTAGCTCAATCTTTACTTTATTAGATATAATTTTTAAATATCGATATAATACATATTAAAAATATAATTGTAAATCTATAAAGCTACAATATGACTATACTGATCAATCTTGGGCATGTTGCTGTCTCTGAAGAGAGAACTAGCAAAGGGCCACTAGTGCTAAAAAAATTTTTATAGAAGAGAAAAAGGAAGGTCAGAAAATAAATAAGTGGATGCGATGGTTAATCTATATATATGATTTCTTGCTATGCGACTTTTTCAGATGGAAGAAAATTTTATTCAAAATATTCATTAAAACCCCTTAAGTAGTATCAAATACCCATTTATATATGATAGTGGAAACACCAGTGCATGGTTTGATCATATTTCAGATCCCTCAATAATTTTTGTGCAATATCAGTTGTGTTTCAGATGCCTTTACTTAGGTTCTTGAAAAATGCGGAAATCTCAGCCATTGCCTTTGATAGTCGACTTGTGCTCCCTTGCGAAAGCTCCCAAAACATTAGTACAGACAATACATGGGAGTAAAATACTAATGTTCAGTAGGAAGGGAAAGTCTTTAGGATAACTACTAAGTCACTTTCTTGGAGAGGTATAGGGAAAGGGAAGGTGTGTTCAATCTTATTTAGAAATGGGAAGAGATTGGGGGTAGGTGCATATATATTGATACTGGTAGGTCAATCCACAAACCATTTTCGTTGATGCTTATCATATGCCGGTACAATAAAAGCCACTATTCATACACTCCATTTTCTATATCCTTAAAAGCCAAGCCAAGAAATCGATAGAAGAACCAATGCCTTATCTTCGAATCTTTACCTATTCAATTGAGCTGAAGAGGAAACCTACTCAGTGGCCAAGAGTAGGTGACTACAACTATAAAACCTAGTTATAGTATTTTGTGACCTTTATTATGGTCAGATAGACTCTTTCTTGAAAGAACCAATAATGTAAACAGAGAAGTGTCCTGTATCCACCCACATCTAGCCAATGACTTATGGTGGATCCCAGGTTCAAATGGAGCTGAGAAAATGCATTCATACACGTGATATGACCAATGGGAGCTTGTTTATATTCTTTTACTAATGTGAGCTTGTTTATATTCTTTTACTAATGTGAGCTCTATCTGTCCAATCACGGTATGAGAAATTTTGTGTTACTTAAAATTTAGGGTCAAACTGAGGTAAGCAAAATTCCTTAAAAAAAATCAAGAACGAGCACTATAAGAAGTCAAACAATGGAAAAGTTATCTCTTATCATTACAGAACTTCTGTGATATTTTTCTACAGTATGAGATGATAGCACATTAGTTCTTCTTCCTTTCAGAACTTTCTTGCTATTGGTAGAAAAGGTTTTTCTTGATCTTTATGGTCACTAGAGATCAAGTTTTTGTTTGAAAAGGATAGTAAGCAAGAGGAGAGGAGATAGTTGATGACTCTTGAAGTTTCTTCAAGTTGGTTTAAGGAGAGTAGTAAGACTTTATTAGCTTAGAAGTATAAAAACTTCTTGCGAATATCTTTTTTGTGTGTGATCAGAAAATCAACAGAAAGAGTGTTTAAAACATTTAAATAAAAAATAAAAGTTTACAATTCATATTACTTATTACTTAATTTTTTGATATTATGAATGTTTTTACTAAAAGACTTGAATTTCTGATGTCAAAAATTTCTGGAATATTTATTCTAATTATTAATGATATCATTAGAATACATAAATATAATTAATAAAACTTGTTTATATTTTAAAAACTAATGTGTTTTATATTAGTCAATCATCTTTAGTGGGGATTTGTATTATTAAAAATTTAGAATTAAATAGAAGTAGGCAAAATTCTTTAGAAAATTATAAAAGTGTAAGCTTTAAAAGAATTGGAATAGTTCAAAAAAAGAAAATAAGTCCTTTAACTATAATAAAATCTTTATAAATCTCTCACTTCAAAGATTAAAAAAATCTTCAAATACTTTACAATTGATTTTTTTTTTTTAAAAAACTTTCTTACTATTGATATCAAAGGTGTTACTTGACTTTTTTTAATTATTAAAAGTCAAATTTTTAGATAAAAAGATTTGTAAATAATAGAAAAAAAATAGAAATAACTCTTAAAGTTAGGTTTCAAGTTATTTTAAGGAAAGTGATAAAATTTTATTGATTATTTTTTTTAATGATAAGTTAGTTATTTTATAAAAATTCATAAATTATAATTGATTTTATTTATATCTATACTACTCATTCTTTCTGCTGATCCTTTGACCATATATAAAAAAGATATATGCAAGAAGATTTATACTTTAAGGCTAATAAAGTCTTATCACTTTCTTTAAATCAATTTGAGAACAAGGTTTTCAAAAATCACCTTATAACCCATTATTTATTTTTATATCTTACTACAAAAAACTTGTCTTCTAGTAATCAGAAAGACAACTTTACCCTTCTTATTAATAGCAGAAAAGTTTTGAAAGAAAGTAGACCTGACTTTTTTATTTTCCTCTTACCTGCTATAGAAATACTACAGAGCTTTATTTGTGATAAAAGACTTTTTAGAAGACAACTTCACTACTCCCTTGTCATTATAGATACTCTAATAGTGCTTTTTCACAGTTTTCTCTAAAGAATTTTGCTTACCTCATCTTGACCCTGAATTTTGAGTAGTACAAAATTTCTGGTATTGTGATTGGACAATGAAAACATATTGGCAATCAAAGAGATAAACAAGCCTCTATTGACTATTTTATGTATTTAAATATATTTCCTTAATTCTTATAAAAACTTGGGGTCTATCATAAGTTGCATACTAGTTACATAGGTGAATACAAGACATGAAATCTATGACATCATTGACTATACAAAAAGAATAAAAAATCTGAATTAGAATCCATTGAATAGTAAACAATAATCCTTTTCTATTTCTTCTTCCCTTTTCCAGTATATACAACTAGAAGAAATAAACTATATGATACAGGATTTTTTAGAAGAGTTTTTGGTTACCTGGCACTGATATATTGGAAAGACAATCTCCTGATTCATTAAACAACTACTGTGTCTTTTTAAATACTCTTTTGACAGTAATACAATATAAAAAATTTTTTTGATTAGTGTTAGTGAAGTTAAGAATTCACATGAAAAATCCCCAATATTAGAAGTGATGAGTATCACAGGTGAATCCTTGGCACATTAGTCCCTTCTTCTTATAGATTCTAAGGTAGTTATAAGCTACTCAGTGTGTCATGTTTTTATCATATCTCTAGGGAGTACTAGTATGGTCATAAAGATAATATAGTGAAAAATTCTTTTTATTCAATGTTATTTCTTGTTTTGTTTTAATAAGTAATATACATACACTAAATGGTCGTATAATTATCTTATCTTGGTTGGATGAGATGTAAATAATTTGTTCTTTATATCATTTGTTGATTTGTAAATCCTTAGACAGTATGAGTAATTATTTATTCTGATTGTCCCTAGGTATCTTCTTACTTTAATAAAACATGTTTATCCTGACACAAGGATGAGCTAGCATTAAAAAAAAAATTAATAATAATTGATTTTATTTTAATTTTTTGATAAAAACAAATTAATATAACATAATTGTAGATTAATAAAAAAAAAGTAAAATTAAAAAAAATTTTGTATTTATAGTGACAAACTATAGATAATAATTCTGATAAATAGAGATTTTAGTATCAATCTATCAAGAAAATAAAATATTGTTTTCTGAATTTCACTTAAAATATCTAATTGAGACTTTGTTTTGTTTAGTTCAAACTAGTATAATAAACTTCTTATATTTTATTATATAGTAATAATATAGTATACAATTATGAATTAGTTGTTATGCAAAAATTCATATAATGTTGTAAATGTTTATTTAATATCTCAATAAAGACACGATTAAAAAAATTTTTTTAAAAAAATTTTTAATCAAATTTAATAATAGTAATGATTTTATAATTGATATACTGTATTAATAAATAAATAATTTTTTGATGATTCAATAAATTAATAATATAATAAATTAATAGTAAAAGCGAGAATACTGTATATACTGTAGATATACGTATTTCGTAATTTTTATTAGGCATGTATATATTTATTTGAAAAGATTAAATATTTGTTACAAAAATAATGATTAAGTCATGCTTTCGAACTTAAATATATTAATTCATAAATTAGCTGGATGTTTGATAATGATAAACAAATCGGAATTTTATATTGGATTGATTGATGCCAAATTTGGGATTTTGATTAATACCAATTTGGGATTTTTGTTGAACACTATTGCACTATTTAAACCAACCTTATTTTATCTAACAGTATTAGATCAAATGGTAAGTTTTATCTTTATTCCTCATAATTTTATTTTCGATCCTATCCTGACAAAAAAGAAATCTCATACTTTTGCCTCAGCTAATCGGCAGAGCAAAAGTCGTATCATTTTCAGTTCCATTTTATATCACAAGATGCTCATTTAATTTTCGTTCCCATTCGATGTACACTTATCTTCAGGCCGATATTTCCGAAAATCACACAATACCGAGTGAGGCCAGCGATTTTGTTAAATTCGTCAATAATGCGCCTTCTCCATTCCATGCTGTCGAGGAAGCTCGATTACGTTTAGTTGGAGCAGGCTTCGAAGAGATTAAGGAACGCGATAGTTGGGTCGGAAAACTGAACCAGAACGGGAAATATTTCTTTACTAGAAATAAAAGTACCATTTTGGCTTTTTCCGTTGGTGGTAAATATGTTTCCGGAAATGGTTTTTCAATGATTGGGGCGCATACAGATTCTCCTTGCTTGAAGGTAAATATTTTCTTTTTATCATCACCTTAATCTAAAAAATTAAAAGAATTTTTTTTTTTCCTAGATTAAGCCCATATCTAAGAAGTCATCTGCTGGATACTTACAGGTTGGGGTGGAAACTTATGGAGGAGGGATTTGGTAAGTTCCTCATTTAATCTCTGTCATCAATTTAATCTAACTTCTATTATGGATTAGGCATACTTGGTTCGATCGTGACTTAAGTGTCGCTGGACGCGTGATGGTCGAAACTGATGGGTCCAAGATTGAGCACAAATTAGTTCAAGTTAAAAGGTAGTTGGTTTGAACTAGAAATTTATTTTAAATATCCGTATTATTTATATTTAAATTATCAATTAATATAAAGGCCGATTCTTCGAATTCCGACTTTGGCAATTCACCTTGATCGGAATGTCAATGAAGGATTTAAGTTTAATAAAGAAACACACCTGACACCTTTAATTGCAACTGTTACAAAAACGTAAGTCGCGTTTCATATGTGACTTTTACTGATATGCAAGCACTAATCGACTACTTATAAAGGTTGGAAGGAGAAGGATGTGAAACTTTAAGACACCATCCCACATTATTAAATGTTCTTATTCACGAACTTGGCGTCAAATGTAATATAAACGAGCATATTGGTCATTTTTGTTCATTATTAACTCTCATTTTATAGCTATTGAACAGATTCGTGACTTTGAATTATGCCTTTATGATACTCAGCCATCGGTCATTGGTGGGGCATATAATGAATTTATCTATTCCGCTCGCCTAGATAATTTGATGATGTCATATACCGCATTGACTGTACGCGTTTTGTGTAAATTTTGTTCATATATATTCTGAACTTACTTATATATATATATATATAGGCTTTGATTGAAAGTACGAAAGAAGTGGAGTCTCTTAACAATGATCCAAATATTCGTTTGATCGTATTGTTTGATAATGAGGAGGTCGGAAGTCAGACGGCCCATGGAGCTGATTCAAAATTGTTGGAAGCAATACTGAGACGACTAACTTATTCAAATATTGGCGCCGAACCTTCTTCAACGGCTTTACCGGTACTCATACTTAATTTTATATTTTCCCTTAGTTATAATGTGATTTAACGATTTTCTGTGTAGACTTTATTTGATGAAGCTATTCAAAAAAGTTTCATGATTAGCTCTGATATGGCACATGGTACGAGATTTTGATCCAATTTTATTTAGATGCTTTTAGAATTTAAAAATAATCTAACCTTTTTTTTAATTAGCTGTTCATCCGAATTATTGGTAAAGCATTATATTTATTTCAATTATTGATTGGCTCAAAGACTTATTATTTGGTGACAAATAGTGAAAAATATGAGGAGAATCATAGGCCACAAATGCATAAAGGTGTTGTTATCAAAGTTAATGCGAATCAGGTAAATTCTTTGTATCGTTATTGTTAGAGATGTCATTAATCGCTACTAAAATATAGAATTTAACAACACAAAATAAATAGCGTTATACAACTACAGCAGCAACTTCAGTTATATTGCGCGAGGCTGCAAAGAAATATCAAGTGCCATTACAAGAATTTTGCGTTAGAGCTGATAGTGCATGTGGTTCTACCATTGGGCCGATGATAAGTGCCAACCTTGGATTACGCACTGTTGGTATGTTTGTCATCAATTTTGTAATTTATACATCCAGTTTTTTCTGCATTATCTAATTAATTAAATAAATGATTTTAGATGTCGGTAATCCTCAATTAAGTATGCACTCTATTCGTGAAACAGCTGGTACTGAAGATGTTGGGCATGCTATCAAGTTGTTCAAAGTAATTATTTTTATACATACATAAATTTTTCAAGTAACGGTGCAGTAGAATCATTCCAATGAATTAATGATTACCTCGCATATGTCATATTATTTATCGGGATGATTCTATTGCATCATTATTCCAAAGAATGAAATAGTAACCGGTCGATCTAACTTACTTTATAGGGCTTCTTTGAAGAATTCCCCAGAATTGATTCATATGTTATTGTTGATTAGTCATATTATTAAATGCCCTCAAAAAAATGAACATCAATACTGGAAAGCTATATACTCGAAGGATCAATAAATTATAATTGTAAAAAAAAACAAGCAAACCAACCTTATTATTATCAAATCAAAAATGTTCTCGAATATAATTTGTGAAATAGCCCATATTTATTACGAAATAAAGAATCGGATAAAAGCTTACTTTTTATTAATAGCCATTTTTAGTAAAGTGAACTTTAAAAATTAATTAATAATAAATAAATAAAGATTAATTATATAACTAATTTGATAAAGGATTAAAAAAAAAAAAAAAAAAGCAAAATAAAATATGACTAAATTATCTGCTCGAAAAAACATTAAAAACTTATTTTTTGCTAATTCTTTAATCGATATAGAAAAAATATTTACAAGACTTTTAGATTAATAAAGTCTTTAACGTTTTTTTTAAAAATAGTTTGAAAAGTTTTCTAGTTGATTATAAATGTTTTTGATTAAAAGCTTAACTTTTATTCACTAACAAGTCAAGTAACACTTGATCTCTATGCTAAAAAGATTTATAAATAAAGAAAAAATAGTTTTTTTATTTGTCAAAAAATATTATAAAGTATTTATAGCAATGTAAAACTTTTTGAATAAAAAGATATAAATTTTTTTATTTAAAAATATATTTAATTTTTTTTATTTGACTTGCTCTTATAATATTTTTTTTTTATAGTTTTATAAGAAATTTTGTTTAGTTAAAAAATTTTAGTAGTTAAATAAAAGTCTTTATAATATAATTTATAAATATATAAATAAGAACAAAATTATAGTATATCTCTAAAAAATATTTCAAGAAATATAATAAAATTTTATTGATATTTATATAGAATATAATTAGTAAACTTTATTAAAAAATATAAAATAAAGATTTAAAACAGTTATTATATCAAAATACTAAATAAAAAAATGAAATTAAATATCATATCATTAAAAATGAAATAAAAAAATAAAATTGATTGTATTAAAAAATTATACAAGAAAATATTAAAAGAATATTATATAAATTATTGAAAAATAAAATTTTATAAAATAATATATATATATATATATATATTGATAGGCTTATACACAAACTCTTTCCGCTGATCCTTTGACCACACACAAAAAAGACGTTCGCAAGAAGTTTTTATACTTCTGGACTAATAAAGTCTTACCACTTTCCTTAAACCAACTTGAAAAAGCTTCAAGTGTCATCAACCACCTTCTCCCTTTTCTCGCTTACTATCCTCTTCAAATAAAAACTTGACCTCTAATGACCTTAAAGGTCAAGAAATACTTTTCCTACCTATGGCAAGAAAGTTCCGAAAGGAAGAAGAACTAATATGCCGCTATCTCACATCATAGAGAAACACCACAGAAGTTTTTGAGATGATGAGAGACAACTTTCCCACTCTCTTGTCATCT